ACTTTTATTATTTCTACTACTTTATTTATTTGGAAGACAGCTGAAACTGAATGACCTCTACTACAGTGGACACCAAGTAAAAAGCTAAGCTCTAACTCAGTGCACATTAAGGATGAAGGATATTGTTCTGTAACAAGGTACTTGTTGTGTAACACACTGAGATATAACAGGTAACTGGGTCTGTTGTAATAGGATCATCCAGTGGATTTAAAAGTAATGTGTAAAGTAAAGTGCTTTATACGCAGGAGCAAGAATGCAGGCAGCATAACAGATCTAGGGCTTTTGAAATGGTTCTCAGTATATGACTGGGGTTTAGTCCTATGTCCATAATTTACATTTTACGCCAACTAAAGCAGTGTTTCACTTAACTGATTATTTGGAATGACTGAATACATATATAACAAGTTAAAATATATTCTCTATAATAATACAGTAATATTCTGTGCTTTCACAGCCTGGATTCCTTCAGTATATGTGATCACTGACTGATTTACTAAAGTTTTAACACTGCCAATTAGATGATTATGATCAGTAATGAAATGAAATAATACCATTAACTGTCTATTACGTGAGACTGCCATAGAGATATCTCAGTGGAAATATCAGTCAGCAGTCAACTGAACTTCACATTTGTTTCAGTATAGTGCTTTGTACCAGTTCACTCAGTTGGCTAACCTTAAACTGGTAAATTAAATAATTGATCTGTCCTCTGCTTAGGGATTTAATTTGACCGAGTCAACAGCGAGTCAACAGCGAGTCTGACGGTGCTTCTGTAATCCAAGCCAGACTCACTTTTCAAGCATATTTGCAATATGCTGTAGACATGGGTAGTACAAACGTGTGAATTCATAACCCTGAACATATTTCATAGAATGATTAATATATGGCAAATAATCATTACTCTACATAGATGTTTGTGCTCTAATCTAAACACCCTGTTGTTTATTGTTTTCCTGAAGACTGCTGGGGGAAAGGAGAGTGTGAGAGGGATTTTTCCCAGGTTGTCCTGTCATGACACTGCGGGGGACGAGTCTGACTGACACTTTAACCCTCCCCGGGGGATTTGCAGGATTGTGAGTGGAGTGAAGGATTAGGGTTTTAGTGGCACACAGCAAACAGTGTGTCTGTAGGTCAGTGTGTCAGTATATCAGTGAGTCAGTAGGCTTTTATTTTTCCAAGAGTAGGTCAGCTATTTGCTTTCCATGAGCGAGGCCAATGCAATTACTTCTTAGTGTCAAAGAGTACTCACTTAAACACATGTTAACACTGAACTTTCATCATGATAATGCTCTAAAACCATCACATGTGCATCCACACACTCAGCCGTCACCCATGTTGTTCACCCAACATAAACAAAAGGCGTTTTACATGTTGGAAATTGGATGAAAGGGCTCCGTGCTGGCATTTTGGTGGCCACACCATTGTTTGACAATTTATTGATTTGTTGCTGATTAGATCCTGTGGCTCGCTTCCAGTCACTGTGAAATGCCACACATCCGCAAATGCTGTTGTGATGCCATGCCACCATTTACTCACTAACTTAGAAGCCAGAAATGTTTTTTATCTCCTGACCAGTACCTGCAAATCTAGCCAGCTGAAAGAACCACAAAAGCACAGATGACGCAAGCAAGAACTACCTGTTGTTTAAAGGGTCAGTTCAACTAAATGACTTATTGCTTGGGGTACTAAGCCAGACAGACTGTTTTGTTGTTGTTGTTGTTGTTGCGCAAGATTTAAGGTATCTGCGTCTGAAACATTTGTAGCCACCCAAACACAATGGATGGATGTGAGTGGAAATTTTGTGTCATTCAAAGCAATAAAACGTTTGTTCTCAACATCAATGTCACCTTTCGGATAAAAAGTCCTTATTTCTCTGGATAATCCACTAGCATCACTGTGGAGAGTTTTCACTTTTCACTTCAACTACAAGATAGTGCCACAAATGAAAGCAATTGGGATGACATCTTCGGCAGAAATCACCTTTAATCAGATATCATGGTCTAGGAAATATATGTATGATATATATGAGTGTTAGAGCTATGGTTTCTGGAAAGACACCTTGCATTTTGCAAAAAATTTCATGTCATTTTTATTAATGCCTTTAGCACAAAAAAAACCAAAAAAAACAAATTCTGTGCACTTTCTTTCTATTGTTGTGGTGACAGAAAACCCAGGTAGGATATCCCAACAAAACAGAGATCAACATTTCCTGTCCAAATATATCACAACAGGTTGTGCTATTCCAAAGGATCAGCTAAACTGCAGTTAGGCATGTGCTCTTCATTAGACAATGACACAATCTACTGTGTGCTGGCCCCTTCCTTCATTTATTGGTGCCCATTCTTATCAACCTGGTACTTGGTTTGCTAATTGCCACTGAAGTAAAGTCTTAACGCTAACACTATAAAAGCAGCCAGGTGTACCGCATTGTTGGCTCAAACACTCCATTAACTGTTGTTTCCTGTGAGGCTGGGAACAGGAGCCTGTATGCTGTGGCGAACCAACAGCCTCAGTTTAGGCTGAAATTTCAGACTGAGATAAAATAAAGGTGTGTACTATCGAGCAGTCTGTTCTCAAGTAATTTATTATCTAATACACTTTCAGTTGTTTCAGAGTTATTCAGGAAGTATTTGCTATTTGCTGATTCGCAGTTAGCCTCTATTTTGCTCCTTACTCGTTCCTAGGTAACTACTCAGGATTTTATGTACTATGTAGTGAAGTGTTAGCATTAATTGTGTTCCGCAGTCATCTTACTCCATTAGAAAAGCAAATTACAAATTCACATTTTTACAACAGTTCACCATCACCCCAGTAGGGGGTGCCCAGTTCCTAGATTTCATCAAAACTGGTGGCATCAGCAGAGTTAGCCATCAGTAATTAATAAGTAGATAGGACTATATCTGATTTATATCTTTATCTATTTACAGATTCTTACAGATTCTGATACAATTTCTAGTGGCACAGTTAGATCTAATCATATATGCATGTGTTGTAATGTGTGGGGGGCGTGTCTGGTACTAATGAATGAATGTATTTTCTAGTGAGTCTAATGGGTGTGTCTTGCTGGCCAAAAATGTACAGACACAGTAAAACTTTTTGAACAGTTACGTGGAAACGAGCTTGCTCACTAGAAGTTACTTACCCTACACACCGCGCTAGCTTTTTCTGTGTTACGTCTTTGTCTATCTGAAGTCATCTCACCACATTTCATATTATTGTTCAAACACTTATAATAATGATAATGTGAATCATTAAGGTCTAATGCAGGTGTGATGTATTAGGCACTGGTAGTTTCTCACATTATTACCCAGTAATCTTCAACAGATTGATGAGGCTGTTATACATTTTCAGCTGACTTTACAGGAGTGTCAGGAATGGCACTGCGGCTTGATATCAACCTAAGCATGTCACACCAATGTGATGCACCTGACACCTACTTAACGTTTCGTCAGTCTACTACATTTATTTGTGCTCACAGTTCCGGTCAGGTGCAAGATGCTGGTCACATAGTTAAGGTATTGCTCTGCTCAAATTTCAGCACTACCCTTTTCATGGACAAGTAAAAGTATTCTTGCAGGGTTCGTTGTTTAACGTCATCTGCTAATTTTATGAGTTCTATGCGCTTCATGATAAAACACTTGCTCCTTTGCAAAAGCGGAAAGACTGATCTGGATAGGGTTAGGTGTAACTTAAGGAAGAAAAGAGGTGATTAATTTGTCATGATTGAGTCTACATACCAGTCATAGTGGTTTATGTGGGTTGGTTATTAGTATATCTAAATATGAGAGTATCCACTGAGAGTATCTGCTGCGTTATCATGGAGAAAGTTGACATTTTAGACCAGTACTTTGGACAATATAAACAGTATAAACAACCTGTATAATCTAAAAAAAATATTGTGTGTGATTACCCTCAGACACTGATTATAGTCCATTTTGGATGGTGAAACATCAGCACCGCTGTTGGCTGTGCAGGGGGAGTTGGCAGATTTTGGCAGAAAGGAACATTATGTTATGACTTACTGTTTTTGATACTGTTTTTGATAAGTCAGAGATTTGGGGAACTGATCTTTAGGACATTCAACTTGATATGATTTTAAAACATGGAAGAGAGGTTTAGATGAATTTGCTTGAGTGTGTATTGTTCGCTAATTCTCTTCAATATGATAATTTAATACCATGGGTGTGGTTTAAAAATCAGAATAGAGCATAGAAATCTTTACAGGTCAGTGTATGATTGTGGTGCACCATAAAATGATGTGTTGTTGTGTTGTACTGTATTGATGCAATATATACATTCTTTCTAGTTGTGTGCCTATTTACAGTTCATAGGACAGTGACCAGTCCCAAATGCAAATGCGTGATGTGAAAATGATATCATGCCAAGGGAATGTGACAACTGTTTACATACCAAACACAGACAGTCCATAAAGCCACTTCTACTATTTGTATGAGCAAATACGACCTTTGCCTTACAGACAGTACCAATGTGATTACATGGCAGGCACCTTGTTTCTCATGCTGGGTAAAATTGGAAAATGAATCACTGTTTTCACATACAAAAAATTACTTATAAAGATGCATTTGAATCTGTGCCATCAACATGTGCGCTACTAAGAGGAATACCACTGACTTTTATCAAATGTATATTCAAATTGCTTGTAAAAAAAACAAACAATGCATTGTTAAAAGCATTGAGGGGAAACTTCTAACATTTCCTCCATCAAAACATATTCCAACTGCTCCCAGCCAATACTACAGTCAAAACTGTAACAAGGAGAGTCAGAGATATTTCTGTTTTAATGTACATTATTTTTTCTGCTGTGGTCAGTTCAAGTTGTATATATTTTTCTAATGACCATTCTCTTTTTTCTAAGGTGCAGTGTGTTGTCATTGTCGCTAAAGAGGAGAGATACAATGATTAAAAAAGAATAATAGTAGCAAGAATTAGGTTGATTTAAAAATATTTATTCATTTATTAAAAATATATTTTAACTGTAATCATGTCATTTCACATTGAGACAAATGTGTTACATTTATTTGCTATACAAATAATTCATTTTACATAAAATATAGTATGATATAAAAAATCTTCTAATTTCCAAAACTTACAGTATACAGAAATTGCTGCATCATCTGTGTGCTTTGCAAGCATATACAAAACCACACACTGAAACGCAACTAAAGCTTAAGAAAATAAGCTGATTGACATTTGCTCTCTGTGGACCTATTGACAGACCCTTCAAGCAAAATTTGCTCTAAAAATACAGTAGGGTGATAAAGTGCTTAGCAAGTTATTATACGATGGCACCTCAATGTCACATTAAGTCCTGGGACAGGAAGTGCTTACAAGATAAAACAAACAATAAACTCCAGCATTTTTTACACAAGCTTGAACTATACAGCATTAATACAAATTAAGCTTTTAGAGGCAACAGAGAGAGGTGAACCAAAGTTGTGGACTATTTGGTCAAAATGTGATAAAAGATCTTGTTTATAATCTGTATCATGGCAGTACAATACAAAACCTTAAGTACAGTTTACTAACACAGTAAGGACAAACCCATTAAACAACATTCAGAAACCTGAGAAGATCTTTGACTTTAACACTGCTTAGTGCAAACAGAGGTGGAATAGGCCTATAGATGTATTTAGTGCTAGCAGTGTAACACTTTAGTTCTTAGTTGGTATACAAGGAATTATTGCATTATGACATCAAATTACACAAGGCATGTGCTGACAGATGTCAACATCAACACCACCTTAAATCTAGTGAGATAAGTATTGATGCAGGCATATATAAATATACTTCACTTGGTCATTTTCCTGGTATCGACGTACAACTGTACATGCTCAGAACAATTGTGATACGCAGATGTTTTAACGTCCCCCCAAAATGATTAACAGATTACCTTTAGCTGGAGAGCTTCTAATTTTACATCAGCCCAGAAAACTTTAGACTTTGAAATATATAAATGCCAACGTGCAACAGCACATGCTCATTGACCCAACTGCCTCACAGACCTTCACATTACCTGACACTGAAGCAATATCTAAATGTTTGCTCACGCTGCTGAAAAATGACCCTGGGTTCATATGCTGTCAGAGTCACAGTTACCCAACTGATTAGCCGACTTGTGTAAATAATACAGTGGAGATGCTGATTAAACATATTTCAATGTGTGTGCAGCATCGACTGCTGTCAGACAGAGAACAGGGCAGATTCCAAGCTGGTTCAGTTCTGTTTAGAAAAATTAAAATATATCAAAATACGAGCACAATATGAGCATTTTGTCACAGGTCCACATAAAAAGAAGGTCAAGTATTAACTGATACTCTTTAATATTTAGACTTCATTTAGCCAAAATGACTTGATGCTCATTGTCCAAGTTGCACTTTGTCATCACGAGTTAAGGAAGAAGGCACACTTTAAATCAAGGATCGCTTACATTGTTTTCAAAGCCTTGCTTTAAAATGGCAGCAATTAAGTCGACCAAAAAAAATTTGCCATGAAAATATAACTGTAATGTAAAATAAAGTATTTAGTATTTATTTGATTTATTTATCTATGTTGTATGTGGACCCTGTGACTATAACATGAAACATACCAGAAAAATAGATAATGTGTCCTGAAAGAGTTAAAAGTGATTTCACTTCTGTTTGCAATTTCCTGAGATCCTTATAACATTTTACTGCATCTTTGAACTGAATCCCAGCAGCAATAGTGGAAAACAAAATAAATACAACATATGACAAAAATGAAAAAAAGATTTACACTACAGTAAAGGCGTCATATTAATCTCTATGTGTATGGTGTGACCTCCATAAACAATTTCTTTAATGTAAGTGGGACTTCAGTCAGCCCTGTCACCACTATAAAACGTTACATTAAAGCCACACCTGTCTTTTCTGGATAGGCTGAGTTTTTCAGCCTGCTCTTTTCATATTGCATATTACAAAACTGTAAAATTAAATGAAAACTGTTGATGAGTGATGGCAGTTGCTTTTATCCAAGGCGACTTACAAGTCAGGGCCAACATGTCTATTTCAACATGCCTGTATCTAATTTGGGACAAAGTAAACCTGTTACCTCTTATTTTTCAAAAGAGTTCTACTAACAACATATGTAGAGCTTAAAAATCTATTCTTTTGGGGGGAAATTAAACTCTTATTAGCCTATCTATAGTGCCAAGAATACATCTTTATATGATGGACACTTTCCATTTTGTTGCTCAAAATGAGTCAGGGTGTGGAAAAGTGGCTTAAAAGTTGGTTGTCCAGAGCCAGACACATCTCCTCTATTCATGTGTGTTTGTATCTTTATGTGAGTCTGTCTGTCTTCAATACACACAAAACCAACCTATGTTAACTATACCATGTCTTTCTTACTCTGTCCTTTATGTACATCCACAGGACTCCACTATCATGTCAGGAACGTCCATTTTGACAATGCTGTGCTGAGAGTCAAAGAAAACCATGGACAGTGGCCGGCGCTCAGTGGGAACACAACATGAAGTTGTAGCTGTGTTGATGCCGTTGATTTTCAGCTGGCTGAAGACAGTGGCATGGAACGAGGATGCTATTCCTGGGGAGCCCGACAGATGCTGGGGGCACTGACCGATGCAGTAGTTCATATGGTAGCCTTCAGGTGCAATGATCCACTCATCCCACTGTATATCCTTGAACTTGATGTAGAAGTCTTTCTTGCAGCACACAGTTACATCGTCACCACAACGCAATGAGCGCTTCCTGAGCAAGTGTTTGGAGTGGTCATCACGGAGACGCACCTGGGCCACCAGGAAGGGCTGGTAGGGGGTGTCAGCAGAGCCATCTAGGGAGCAAAGGTTCTTCCCATCTTCATCACAGCTTACCTCCAGCCGTAGCCGACGTTTACCACCGTCGAGGAACGCCTGCAGGATGCGGGTGATGGGGAAGGTGTGCCAGTTACTCTCCTGGACTTCCAACATCTTTTCCATCACCAGGGTGCGGTTAGTGCCAGACACCCCATCGTCTGCGGAAAGGAAGACTCTGGCTGGGAGGCGAGAGTCCCGATGGGGGTCCTCAGAGGAGCGGGCATAGATCCACAGAGAGGACTGGAGGACCTGGATACTCTGGCCACGCTCCTGCAGAAACTGGAAGGTAAGGCTGAGGCTAGCCTCTTCACCATTCCCTGTCTCACCTAAGAATCAAAGGCAATTTAAAAACAACACAGACTGTTAATATTTTGGACACTAGAGAGATTGTGACACCAGCAAAGGGAAAATCATTTTAAACCATGCTTGTAAGTTGCAGAATCATGTATAAATAAAGGACAAGTCAATGTATTTTCACTTATATTAGGCATTTTACCTTATGATTTGATTGACACTAAATATAAACTCACAATAAGCCCTGGAGGAATATTATACTTATGGTTAAATCTAAAGATTGGTGACAGACTGTAATCCTAAACTTTTACAACATCCTATGGAACAGCACAACAACTTAATAACAGGGCAAATGGAAACCCTGACCTAATCTGTGTATATTTCAAGCAGGTGAAGCGCAAGCTCGTGAGGCGTTTCAGCGCCATACAGAGGAAAGAACAGCTTAACGTCATAAAAGGTGATCACAAAACTTACTTATATCTGCAAAGCTCACTATTTCATAGCCTTGCTCTTTGGTAGGTACATTGTTTTCTAGCTCAAGAGTACCGTCCTGTCTGACGCGCCCCGAGTGCAGTTTGCGCAGCGCAGTGAGGAGCGCCGCTCGGGGGACCGTGTGAGTTATGTTTGGTCTCTCCTTCAGGTGCAGCTTCTCCAAAATCTGTTGCTTGGCGATCTCTATCATCAGCCTTTCCTCTGCGTCTTTCTCCATCGCCGGTAAACCACACGACGCGCAGCCCGGGGAGCCACTGACCCAGAGACCCTTCAGCAGCAAGGACACCAAAAACAGAAGTGATGGGAATAAAAAAGAAGGCGTCATCCTCAACCCTGAAGTTAAAAAAAAAAAAAAGCCTATCTGTGCTCGACTTGAGTAGAAAACGAATAAAGAAATCTTCAAATCCTCTTCCCTGAGTTGTTCTTTAGAAGTCACAAGTTCTCTAACTGTTGTCAAAGGTCCTTATAGACAGCTGGACACCGTGAAGACAGGAGCTGAGAGAAAGGAGTGGTGTTTCACCCTCCTGAAGTTGAAGATATCATGTGGGGTAATCCACCAAAACTGGTGACACGTTGGAAGGATGCACCAATGAGCGCATCGGGGCACCGAGAAAATTACTGGCAAAGCATCTGTCTGTCCTGTGAAGTTACAACAGACAGACAGACAGACAGACAGACAGACACACACACACACACACACACACACATACAACACGCACTCACACGTAGGCTTCTGACTCAATCACCGACTCAGAGAGAGGACGTCTTGTGGCTCACGGAATCAATAAAACTCTGTCAGTGTGACACACCTGGTGCAAGATCACACTCGCTATTTTGCATTAGCGAAGCCGCATAAATAAAAGTGGCCTGATTTGATACATTTTTAGCTGGATACAATAAGGTCGTCACTTTCTTTATCACAACAGGTAATTTCTGTGGCACTTACGTTGCCCTCTACAGGGTGACGGAGCGAGAAACGCAATCTGACATCACCCTTCCCGTTCAAAGTTGAAATTCAGTGCCCTTTAACCCAGTTACTGGGTCCACCAGCGTCATCGCCACCAAACAATTAAACTGTAGTTCAAAATGTGCGAACGCGCTCGAGGCTATGAGGCGGGGACCAAACCCCGGTATTTGAAACACGTTTCGTCATGTTGCCTGTGTGTGTGTGTGTGTGTGTGTGTGTGTGTGTGTGTGTGTGTGTGTGTGTGTGTGTGTGTGTGTGTGTGAGAGAGAAAGGGAGACAGAAGGGTCACACACATACACACACATACACACACACGTCTTTTGTATTTTATTCATAAAATAAAAACGACCAGTCCAAAGACATGGCATCACTATTGATAGGCATGGCATTGAATGATGTTGTTGCGCTAGATAGGCCTTTATGACACAGGCCTGCAGCACACACGCTGACTTGATTTAAATTAATGTTATAATGTCTTCTGTGGGCATATAGTAAGTTTGTATGGTGTTTCAAGAAAGTCAGCCTACTGTAACAAATGACCTCTGTAGCCTAGTGTGGACATGCACCAAAACATGCTAAAGGGTGTAGCCTATCAGGTTGCTAAGGTTTAATAAGTTAGTCTACTATTTTACAACATTGGGTAGGGAGCCTTATGCACCTGTTGAAAAGGAATTATTGATTTTGTGTGTGTAGCCTACCACATGGACACATATCAGACAGGGATTGACAATCAAATCAAGAATAAGTTTATTATAGAAATATATGTTAGGCCTACATCAGTGTTACCTACAGTGAAAATGTTTTTTCCCTCTTTGGTCTTTGAGTCTTAGGGTAGGACATAACGTTGAACGACAAGGCCTTACCGTGACACTGAAGTACTTGCCTGCCGACATGTGGGGACTTTTAGGAACTACAACAAAGTTTACTTCATATATTGTCAGTGTGTAAGATGTAAAATACAAGCGTGCAAATTAAAAGTCAAGAAAACTTTTTATTTCACCCCCATAATCACGAATATACATGATTTCTTAAGGAAGATTGAAAAACAGATTAAAACGAAATCATTCGATTTTAGACTTATGATGTTAATATGCAGGCTATATTTTGATAGACTTATTCGATGGGAATGAACTGGTATGGGGGATATTCAGTGATGCAAGAAGTAGGGTACTCAGATCTTTTACTTGAGTAGAACTAGCAAGACCACAATGTAAAGACAGTTGCTCACAAAATAGTGAGTTATTGTAAAACAAGATCGAAAATCGTTTTTTTTTTCAGAAATTCAGAGCCTCCACCGTTGTTGCAGAACAAGTTACAATGAGTAATTCTTATTAGTACACAGTGACCTCATGTAAATCCCAGCATAACTTTGTACAACTCCAGCCTGAGAGGTCTAATCTACAATAATGCATCATTTTTAATAAGCTGATCGTATGTTTTCTAACTAAAGTCGCAGTAACTAGTAACCACAGCTGTCAGATAAATGTAGTGGAGTAATATTTTCATCTGAAAAGCAGTGGAATAGCAGTATGAAGAGATATAAATTGGAAATACTCGAGTAAAGTAAGTAAATAAAAAATGTATTTAAGTACAGTACATGAGTAAATATACTTAGCCTACTTTCCACACTGAACATGCTGTTAAAAATAAAAGCACCCTCATAAAATGTTGCAGTTCATAATGTTAAAAAACCTTGATTGCTTTCCAATCATAGAAACTAAAAAAGTAAAAATGGCACCTTAATGACATACAGTAGACTACGTTCACAGACACAACATTTTGACAGTCAGTAACATTTGACGGTGTATAAGTTTACAGTATCCTGAACGTCTCCCTGCGACTGTGAAGTACGCCGCTGACGTAAACTGTCGGTGAGGGGGAAAAAAGTGACGCTGACACACTCACACAAGCCGGAGCAGAGAAGGGGGAATAGCGTTTTGTTTCTTTTTTCTTTAATTTGTGTCCTTTTATTCTTTGACGTTTTGTTGTTATTTAGCTGTATTGCTCTAAAAGATCTGACTGCCTTGCTCTTCAGTGCTTGCTCTTTATCGTTAACGTTCATGCCGCTCTCCCCTCACGCGGCGCTATTTTGACAGTCGGGGTCGCAGTGAACCAACTCAAGCTAGCAGCACCATTATATTAGCATCGGTAAGTCATTCGGAAAGCTAGCTGTCCGTACTAGCTAGCACCTGTTATTTTGAGACCTGACAGTGCGGATAGAGTTTTCTAACAAGGTTCGCCTCATTGTAAATACATGCTACTTTGTTGGCTAGCCAGCTGTAGTATAAACGCTAGGTTTTGTTGAAGTTGGGTAGCAAGCGTACTCTGAAAAGAAAAGGCTAGCTAGCGGGCTAACATTAGCTAGGCTAGGTGCTCTAGGTGGCTAATTATACTCGCCGGAGGAAGCAAGCTAAAGCTGTGAGCTAGCTATTGTTAGCGTGTGGGCAAGCTAATATTTTCAGTCAACTGCACAGCCAAGGCTTTGACCATACTGCCATCTGTTCCCTACAGACACAACTTGAAGGATTCTACACACGGACTCAAGACGCAAAACCAGCGAAACGGTGAGCTGAACCTTTAAGATGACTTGAGACGATTTGAAGTCGACGATCCATGATCTTTAGTTAGATATGTAACGTAACGTTAAGCACCATCTTTAAAGTCCGCGTTCTCTGTGTTTGACTCGGGATGGCCATGTTAACATTTTATCCATCTAATCTTAACTGAGAGACGGTACTGAAACTCAGTGAACGAATGCGTGACTGAAGTGATCGTGAATAAAGTGATCAATTATCTGGTTGAATCTGAATGAAGTCATTGAAAATTGTTTGTAGCTGTAAATTGCATGCCTAAAGCCCTCCTTAACTGGTGACAAAAAGGTGATATAGTAGCTATGTGTGTCCACTGATGGTCAGAAACGACAGCAAAGTTTAGATGCAACAACTAATTAACCGGAAGTTACAGATCCTTAGTTTGTCTCGTTGATTGAATGGCAGTGGGTTGTGAAGCTAATCTAAGTGCTCTGATTAAAAAAAAAAAAAAAAAAAATTCTCAAACAAATAGGCTAAACTCCTAGGTTTTGTTTGTTGCACGTGACACTTGAAGTTTATATTTTATTTAATTCCTAAGCTTTCTTTGCATCTATAGTGTAAGGCCTTTGCTCAGTGAGACATGATTATATGTATATTTTTTCAAGATTAAATAGAAGCAAGCTTGCCAATCATTCTATGTTTCAATCCATAGTCTGTAAAATACATGAACGAAGAGGATTCACACTTGACTGTGTCTTGGCTTTTGCACTACTTTTTAACACTAGCTGAAAATAGATAGCAAGACTGTTGTGTCAAACAAGATGGGATGACAGCACAGACTTGCGAGGCTGTGATTCAAACATCTGCTCTGGAAAAACATGCATGTGTGTCTGAAAACATAAATATTCATATAAACTGGCATTAATCAACCATGTGATGTTGAGAATTGGCAAATGGCAGGCATGGAGTGCCAGCATAGTCACGTTTGATGTTGAGATTGTCTTGAAAATATCACAATTTGTCAGTTCCTTTAGTTACTGTTTTGAGCAAGATCAAGGTCAGGTTAAGGAGGTACTGCTCCTCACAATTTCAGCTTTAAAGCATTGGTATAGTGATTCTTAGTGATTCTTATTGTACCAGATGTGACCCTATTACAGCTCCTTTCTCTGCATTTGTACATTGGGCACCGATCTTTCCTAAATAACACAGTCCAGTTACTGGTGTAAGGGTAGTATCATTGAGAAAAGGATTATCTATAGTAAGATCTGATGGAGGTGAGTCATTGAATCAACAGTCTACTGTTGCTAAGGCCAGCAATGAGAAAGATGGAGTACTCTGCCCCCCCGATACCCTGCAACTTTCAATCTTCATGTGCAGAACCGTGTCACATTGTGAAATGTCAATGAATTGTTAGCCTTATTTATTACAACTAGGTGAACGGGTGTAAGAATTTATATTTCAAAAGGGTCTTTATTCGTTTATTTGGTTTGCAGGATGCATGACTATGACCAATTCTTTATTCATACACCAGTAGGACATGTGATTTTATGTGTTAACTTACTTGCTTTTTCTGTATTCATGTGCAATGATCAAACATATATACAAGCCATGATGGTCAAAGTGGCTCTAATCCTGTATTTTACAGGCAGATGTAATTTGAAATAGGCAGTTATTATCCAAGAAGACGTGATATCTACGTTTATTTGTCAGCCAGGTATCCATATCTGCTTCTGTTTCTGAATCTCTGTTTGCAGCAGCAGAAGCAGAAGAGTGGCTTTTTCTAGAGAGATTTGAAGAGCTATTTATAGATCTCTGCCAGAGCACCAAGCGTGGTGCTGTTGCTGCTGCTCCTATCTCTCTCTTCTCTTAACCACTCCTGTTTCTCTGTTTCTCTCCATCTTTATTTGTTCCTCTTCTTTTCCTGTTCTCTTTGTTTTCTGAGCTACTTTTCCCTTGATATTTTCACTTCTCAATCTTCCCATTTCATATCTATCCTTCATTGCTTGCTTTGATGTAAATTATTGATCAGAGCAGGAGGGAGGTGACTGGTTGCAACACTGTTAAGTCTGGCCTCTGATTGGGTATAGGTGCCTGACTGACTTCAGTGTCATTGCTGCAAAGCTGTAGGGCTTTCACATGATACTTCAAAGGAAAAGAAAACAGAGAACTTGTCACATGTTGAAATTCATCATTAGATTGTAGGATCCAAGCAGGGTTGGACAAAGCATGTGTTTTGTTGTTATTAATTTTTTTTAAGGTACATTTATTAATACTTTTATTGACTTAATGCAAATGTAGCTTCATTTATTAAAATTTTTGAGCCAAAACAGGCTTCATTTAATCCATGTTGAATCATAAGTTAATAAGAAACTGGTTATGTCTAAACAATGTCATTCAGTAAAAACCTGTTTTGAGTTGTTTGTACATTTGAGGTGTAAACAACCATTTCCTCCCGTCTTTCCTATTAGCTTTACCTCAGTTACATGCTGTGTGTAGCGACGGCAGCACCTTGTCAGGTGATTGTGTCCATGAACGTTTCATCTGTGATGTCTCTGGCCGCTGATCCTTGCTCAGCTCCTCCCCTTTCTCTTTCCTTCTCGCTAAGCCTTTTGCTGTCTTGTCAGTCTGTCCTGAGAAAAGAGGCTACCTGGCTGCAAATGCAGAAGAAGCTGTTGGACTTGGATTGAGGCATTAGGTGGCATTAGTGCATGCCATCCCCTTTATTCCAGTCATGTGGTCAACCTGAGACAAACCTTTTTCCAGGGCCATGCTAGGATTGCAGAGTCATTGGTTGGTTTTTTCATCTTAACATGGCTAAATAAGGAGAGAGGGCCAGTTCTGTGCTAAATCATCATTCATCCATTCATCCATTACCTGTACCTGCTTATTGTTGTGCAGCATGGACAAATCATCATCTTGCTGTGTGGCAACATTGCTTACCAATGAACCAAAAAACTGCCCCGATGCTGAATATAAACAATTTAAAGTGACTCAAAAACAGAATAAATATAGACCACTGATATGCACCCGGACAGATATGTTAACAAGAGGATCTCTGTCCAAAAGCTCAAGGAGAAAATTGAGTCGCTTATTGCCGATAGTCAAATCTATGATTTGATCCACATAATTTAAGTGGTAGACTGACTTTGTAGACAAATTCACAACAACCAAGGTGCTTTTATAGGGATGTAGACCCATTTTCTTCCTCAAATTGTAGTGCTTTAGAGCATTTTAGTGCCATTTTTGAAATAAAGATTTGAAAATTGGCATGCTTAACTATATTGTGGTAGATCACAGCACCTCAAAACAGCGTTTAGAGAAAACAAGATTTTAGTGGAACTTCAATACAGTGGTAAATGGTAAAAGTATTTTCTGATTTGCATGACCTCACTTTTCTGTAAATACCTATGCATTAACTAGACAGTCATACCAGAGAGCATTATTTGCTGTCACATATAATGGATTTAAAACAATGAACAACCACAATAAGCCAACAAACTTCTGATTGAGCAGAAATTTGGTAACTAGCCAAACACTGGTACATGGTCAGGGAAAATGAGAAAATTGCAGTTAAAATTCATTCACTATAAACCTTCTTTTACCAGTGTTTTTTTTGTATGGTGCACAGTGCAATCACCATTTGAAAATGTTTAGGATTACTTCAGGATCTAGTGCTTACTTCCTCAGTGAGCATATTTGTTTCACTTTTCTAAGTGTATTGTGGCAATGCATATTTTTTTGTCCAATAACATTAAGTTGTCTGTTGTGTGCTTTTTCACTTAATTCCTTACCTAAGAGTCTAACAGACATCCCTGGACTTCAGCCACCTTATGTAGAGTTCCCTATTGACATTTACTTTGATGCTGAACTTTTGACTGCCTCTTTTCCACTGCGTCTTTCAGCTGCTGTTTGCAGTGAGGGGGCTGCAGGGAGAAGATGCAAATGTCGTCTTGTGGGATTAAGGTTTTTCTTAGCTAATGAGGTAGTTTCATTACATCCCCCCACTAGTTTCTCTTCAAAACCTCTTGTTTTTATTATTTCATTTTGACCATTGCAGCAGTGCTCTGTTTCACCAGCAGCTGTCACTACTTTAAGCTCATTCAGTTTGTTGAGACACAGGCTACAGATAACAACCTCATACATTCCCATGAAATGGAGAGATGAATGATGACTTGAGTGTGCCTGGACTGTGTCTTCTGCCTGTTTGCAGATGGAGGCTTATACCTTTGTTTTTGTTTTTTTGAAGTTCAAAATCTTAAGTTGTAGTTGTGAAAGAATAAATCTATTTACTGTAATCTCTCATAAGTATCCTGCTGTTGTATCAAGTGACAGACTGGCTGATCCAAGCAGCCCTCTAAACAGCTGGGCTTCTTGTGAGCCATGGGTTGGCTGTCATTGCAATTATATTGTTGCACAGAGGCAGAAAGCAAACAAGATATGTAAGAGAGAGAGAGAGAGAGAATCCTAACGTAAGGGAGGGTTGGAGGAGAAGGGAGCGGTGCAAACTGTGCGCATGATAGCATAAGAGCAGTAGAGAGAAAGGGAGCCAGCCAGCAAGCAAGGCTTTCCGTTTTTCTGTAGTGCTTGTGCTTCATTCAGAAAAAGAAAGGGGGCAGTCCAAATAGAGTGTTCTGTACATTTTACGGGAAACCCATTAACAAAACTGTGCTGTTGGTACGTACAGACAGGAAAGGAACAGAGCAAGTCTGGAGAAGAAGAAAGTATAATGAGCTGAAGAAAGTGACAGAGCTAAACACCCCTGAATCTCAGCTATTTACATGCTGAGGGAAATGGAAGTCATTAATTTGTACTACTTGGCGAGATAAAACTAATATCAGCGTTGTCTTGGTCCAGAGCTGCTTCTGTTGCTGCTTCTCCTGCGATAATGTGCTTTTATCTGTGACACACCTGATCCGACTTGGCTGGATATTCACAGAGCTGAACGCTAAATACAGTAAGCATGTGCTGTGTGTGTATGTCTCTGTGTGTCTTTGTCAGTGTGTGCTAATAATTTGTAGGTGAGATGTAGCTTG